GTTCGGTCCCTTGCAGGGGCAGGCAGAATGACAGAAAGACAGGCTGTGTCACCACACACACACCTCGAGAGAGATGTGCCCAGGGACCCAGCACCAACAAAATTGGAACCTTTCTTACCAGAGCCCATCACCTCCGGCTGCAGAAACAATCTCCACAATTGCACCTTACATGAGATGTCAGCAGACCTCCGAGATTGTCAGACTTCACCTCCGAACCCTCAGAACATCCCTGAGAGGCAGGTTGGGGATGGATAGGGACACCAAGGCACACAGAAGCAGTAATGCCCCGTTCATCACACAGGGAACCCAGCAGAGGCACCGCCAGTGAGGAGTCCAAGCCCCCATGGCACGAGCCTGTCTTAGATCACAACAGCACCTTTGCCTTGAACTGAACGTCCCTCTGAAACTCTCACACGGTAAAAATCACAAACACAAAAGCACCCTCTCAGCAATTCCCTCCTACCGCGCAGGCTTAACCATCTCTCAATTCCACGACCCAAAGCAAAGAGCCTGAAAAGAAGCACCTAAAGAACAGGGAAAGCGTAGGTGCCCTCAACAGGCCCCCCGGCTTAGCTTCTCTGGGAAGCCTTCAGAGGCCACGCCATTTAAAACGGCAGCCCTCCCAGATCCCATTGGCCCTGTTCTATTGCCTTGTTCCATAGCACTTACCTACCACCTGCTCATTGGCTAAGTGATTTATCTAGTATGCTGACTGCTTCTTTGCTGCTTCCTCTTGCTACAATTGCAAGCTCCTACAGTCAGGAATATTTATCTGTTTCTTCACTGTTGTTTCCCCAGTGCCTTAGGCTAGTGCTGGGCACATAGTAGGTGCTTAGTGAGTATCTGTTGAGAGAATGATTGAAGTCAGGCCTGGGCAAAATTGCGCCCCCCTCCTTCACTACTGGATTGTGCTGGAAAGAGCCAAGCCAAGCTGCTCCACCCAGCCCTGCGTTCCCAGCAGCAGGTGGACCTACCTCTAGACCCAACCCCTCAGCCCCCGCAGGCATCTGTGCCCTGGATCACAGCTAGGGCTTGAGTGCCACCAGCTCTTGAGGGGGACAGGCTGTGAACGTCACCAAGCACCTGGAAGCAGACCCACTTGTCCACTGGAGCCAGTAAAATAGAGAATGCCATGAAAGATGGCTTTGGCCCAGACACAACTGAAACTGTATCTCAAAAGCAAAAACAGGCATTTGAGGCCCCTGGCTTTCAGGCAGGGGAGAGCTGGTGCGTGGGATGGCAGAGGCTGAAATTCACTGAGAAACCGGCCACTTGCTCTGGGGCCTATCAAAGAAGAGAGCTGCCTTGTGTGTGTGTGTGTGGGGGGGGCGCGGTGGGGGGGGTGTAAAGTGGGGGACAGCTGCCTTTCCCCTGGGAGGGGGTCATTCCAGGGCACCTGGGGACAACCCTGGCTCTGCCAACTAGTTCCTCACTTATCTGCCTTGCTGACATTTCCTCTCACTTCCCTCCCATCGGTTTGGCAGGTTTTTATCGCAGTGGTTTCAGTGTGTATAGACCTTCCCGCGGGAGCACTGGAGTTGTAGTAAATACACACCATATACGTAAACACAGACGTGTGCAAAGCACGAAGGAGGCTGATGGCTGATGGAGACACACAGACAAGGACAGACGGTGGAAGGGGTTGCATGCGTGTGCACACATGCACGCTCACACGCACCACACGCCGTTCTTTGCCTCTATTAGTTACATGATCCTTACCCCTTCTAACCCTATAATCATGTGATTGGCTCCTCTGGCAACAAGCCCCCATCTTTAGGGGCTGTCCAAAAATCACCCCACTCACATAAATTCAGTTGTGGTAGAAAGGGGCTTCTTTGGAACAATATGACACCCATGTCACCTTTAAGGCTCTGGAGAGATTTCAGAAACCGAGGGCAAGAAACCAGATATTATATAACAACAGATCTATACGATTACTACTTAAGGGATGGTTAAAGTAGGCTATTTAAGTTTAACCAGTAAGTTTAAATAAAAACACAAGGCAAAAAGTTATTCAGAACAGGGCAAAAGTCATGGCCATGATAAACAGATGACTCAAGTTTGGGAGATGCTTTCTTGATCTGAAGTGTAGTTTTTTTATTATATAAGTTTGAACTCAGGAATTAAGATAAGCAATAAATAATATGTATCAGTCTCTCTCTTTCCCAATTATGGTTCAATGAAGACACTGGGGATTCATTCATTCATTCATTCACTCATTAACTATTTATCAAGGGCCTATGAGGTGAGATTTAGGCAAAGGAAATACAGGGCTGCCCTCAAGCTGCTGATGGTCTGGTAGGAGAGAAAGATAAAGAAGCCATCATCACAGCCCCGTTTGAGAAGAGCTACCATACAGGTGTCTAACCACAGGTCAGGAATCACTGATTGGAGAATGTGACCAGCAGAGCTAAGTGTTGAAGGACAAGGAGAAAGTAACCAGATGAGAAAGGGAAGTGTCATCCAGGCAGAGCAGATGTCATTGCTGAGCATACACCCTTCACCTGCAGACTCAGCCCTGCAAAGTATTCGACCCATCACGGCTGACACGGACCCACCAGCGATGAAGGCTGGAATTAGCCCAGACTCTCTGGGCTGGTATCTCCCTGGTATATTTACCAAGGCGCTGTTGCCCTGAGCTCTCCCTGGTCTGCTCAGTCAGGAAAGCAGGTGGCGGGTTCTGGATTTGCTTTCCCTGGGGCCTGCCTTGGCCTTGATCTGGATTCCTGAGCTCCATACCTCATAGATCTTCCAGAATCTTGATGCCACCCCCTGCCTGACTTTAAACATGGCCCATGTCCATGTAACACTCCTGTTACAATGTCATACGAGTGAGAGCCTCCATTTATCCTGACCTTACTCTCTGTCAGGCTTGGTTCATGCTTATTGCATGGGTTACGTCATTTGATCCTTGGGACAACACTATTGTATTTTGTTATTATTTCCATGTGACAGTTAAGATTGCTGAGTCTTAAAGTGGCTAAGGAACTTACCTGAGACCACGCTTAGTAAATGGCAGAGCCAAGGTGCACGTTCAGATTTTCTGACACAGAGATCTGTGCACTTAACCACTGTGCTACCCTACCACTCCTCACATAGAATCTGCAAACCCACTGGCTACCAGTGTTGGCCCAACTGTCAGGTCCTTGAGATTGTGATTTGGGTGGCAGGTGACCCTCCACCTCTGTGAGGAACAGCCTTCCAATGGATGAATGCTCTGGTGCTATCCATTCCTGCCTTCTTTTCCTTTCCAATAATCCAGAGCTCCCAGCATGCCTCACCAATGGGTTCTGACTATTGACAGGGAAACTGAGGACAAGAGGCTCTGAACCCCAACTCGGCTATCAGAGGGGGCTTCATACGACTTATATTTTCCATCTTTGGCAGTCATTCAATGTCTTAAGAAGTCCCAGTTCAGGGTCGGCCGAGTGGCTCAGTTGGTTAAGAGCTCCCTCAAGAGTTTGAGCTCTGAACAACAGCGGTTCGAATCCCGGCCCGAGCTGAGTAGCCGCTGAGCTGCCAACAGGTGGCAGGGTGGCTCAGCTAAAAAAAAAAAAAAAAAAAGAAGAAGTGCCAGTTCTGAGATCCTAGCTTTCAGGTCAGGTAAGACATCTTAACATAATCAATGCCTTATGGAAGTCTCGGGTCTTCTCCAAAGGATTGAATCCATCAAGGAAAGTTGCTTCCTCTCAGTGTCTAGGGCCGTGGGGGGAGGTAGGGAGTGGGGACAGCAAGGAATGAAAGCAAAGGAGCAGCCGCATGCCCAGTCCTGACTCCTGGAGTAAAATGCTCCCCTCTTGGCGCCACATCAGGCCATGTCCAAGGCATGGCAGCCTCCACCGGGACACCACAATGGGTCCTAGTATAGCTGGATGGGGAGTCCCACACCAACAGAAGATGTCATCGAGCTCTTGGGAAGGGTGGAGCTGCTGTGAGCTGCCAAGGCATAATGCACAAGCCCTGTGGGTGGCATAATGTGGTATTTATCTCCCTTACTGTGCAGAGAGGGGACAGCAGGAACAATCCAGACTCTGTCAGCAAGGTCCTCTGGGGAGTTCGGGCCTCACTAATGAAGACGAATAAGGGAGGGGGGGAGGGGTCTGCCTTTCATGGATGCTGCCATTGCCACATACATATTCATGGGCTGGAGGGACAGCTCCTGGGAATGACCCTACATGGAGATGACAGGGGCAGACGTGTGGCAGTGCTAATCTACACTTGGGGTGGGGTGCATCACACTAGACAGTGAATGAGGGTGCTTTACTCCAGGCAATACGCTTAAGTAGATGGAATGTCCAGGTGAAATGGATTCCTTAGGCTGCTGTATACGCAGAGTCCTGGCATGAGCTCAAGAGCCCCTGGAGAACTTAGTTCTCAGCTGAGTTCCAGAAGCGAGCCCCGTTTTGCTCCTTCAGCTCAGCATCAGCTGACGGTAATCCCTGTACCGTGTCTGTGCTGCCTGGCTTGGCCTTATGGAACCTGAGGAGGTTCCATGTGAGGCTCAGGACATACGCTATATCACCTCATCTCTCACACACGGTCCCTATTTTCTGAATCTCCTTCCATCTGACTCTTCCATGATGTTCCCTCAACCGGGATTTTTAGGTACCAAATCCTTGCCCGCCATAGACCTTCGGAGTTTAGGAAGGTAACCTTGGGAGAAGCTTATACTTTGTGTAGAAACATTTGGATAAAAAAAAACTTGAGCATCTGTACCATGTATCTTCAAAAGAGAGTCAATGTTGGCCCAGAACCTATACGCACCATCATGTTGAAGTTAGTGGATTTGTTCTAGACGCCCAGATATTTTGATATTTAGAAGTTTTCATTCCCTCTTTCAGCACATTCAGCCTCAGACCCCAAGCAGCATAACCAAAAGGATCCACACTGGGCCATACATCAAATCCCCTCTGTGCAGCTGGCCTCCCGTGGGTTTTTTGCTGCGCTGCAGGCTAGTACTTAGCTGCAAGACAAATGTCTAACAGCCCAGAGAGCCTTACCTCCCTTTCTGACATGATGTAGAGTTGCTCGTGGTCCTTGGAGAAGGCCATATCTCGGAGGACCGGGCCGGGGTCTACCACCTGCACAGTCTCGTATTGGCGGGCATTGCCTCTGGGCCCATCCACCCGGATCTGTGGAGAAGAGGGAGAGGAGAACCGAGTTGAGTTCAGATTCTGCACTGCCCGCAGTTGAGCTGCAGCCCAGGGACCCTCCCAGGAGCCAGGACAGAGGCAGGGAGCTCTGCTGCCGCAATGCCCAGAGGCCAGGCCCAAAGGAGCGGGAGTGACGCAGCCCACCATTGGCCTCACGCTGGGAGTGACAAGGAGAAGGAAAGGGGGGCCTAAACTGGGCTTCATCAAGAACTGGTGTTATTCCCTCCAATTCCCTGTGCCTCAGGTTTAAGTCTTTGTATGTCTGTCTTAGAGAAGAGGCTGATATTGGGGGGTAGTGAATAATTAAAGCTGCCTCAGATTGAGGTCATCCTATAACAAAGGCAATACTATTTGCCACATTTGTTAGCAGAAAACATATGGGAATAAGGATGTGGGCTGATTCTTTGAAACTGGCACCCAACTAGCTCTGCTGTACCTTGGAAAGGAACCAGGCAAGGAGCCAACCCCAGAAGTTTCATGCCGAGTGGGCTCATCGTGGCCACTGAAACCAGTGGCTCATGTCTCAGATTTTGGAGTAGATGTAGGATCCCGAAACTTCCTAGAGGTTCTATTCATGTCCCCAGGGAAGGGGATATGGGCACGCTAGGAAAATATGCTTTGGGCAAGAGTCAGCCTCAATTTTCCGACCACACTTTGCAGAGTAGATCGTCCCTGAGCTGTCCACAAGTCCTTCCTAGAATTGTTTGGACAACGTGGAGACAACTGGGAAAGACTTTTGCCCACACCTCCCTCCATGACTGAGGACAAATCTAGAAAAGATGGCCTCCATTCTAGAAGCAGAATCATCACGAGTTTCAGCTCATGGATTCAACATGATCACTGCCCAGTGCTAATGGTGCCACCCACATCAGTCAGGACCAGAGAGTGCGGACAATGTAAGAAGGATGGGGGGAACAGCGGAGGGAGACAGGGAGAGGCCCTAGGGGATGGCCAAACTTGATTAGATGCCATTTGTATAAGACTCTGTAAGATACCCAGAGTATAATTTCAGAGATTCTAATAACAAAAGAACAAAAATTATATTGCAACTAGTCCCGTTGTATATTCTTATTTTTAATTTTTAATATTTAATTTTTAACCTCTCATGAGATCCTGGAGAATAGAAGAGCTATTCAGAGGAACTAAATTATAGCAGGGGACGCCACATTAGTGACAACCGATCACCTCAATTCACCTGAAAGTCTGCTGCCCCTCGTGTCTGTTGAATTCACTGGACTCTGACACCAAGGTGTTTTATGATTTATGTGTTTGATTTTCAATGTGTCCCAGACTCTGTTTGTTTTCCTTCTAGGCATTATTTTTAAGCCTTTCTAGATGTCAGGCACTGGCAGAAGGGTTTTCACATAATTTCTTATTGATATAATCCTCTCAATCCTATGAGGTTAGTATTCATTTGTCATGACTTGCATGACCCCTCCAGCATCCACTCCACCTCTCTCACCATTTGGGTGGCATTGGACCCGCCCCCCCCCACTTCCTGTGGCGGTCCTTGATAGGCATAAGCAAATCAGCTTCATCTCACTCTCTCATCACAGTGCTTGGGAGGAAGCAGGCTCAAGCCAATCAACATGTGCAGCCAGAGCAAAGCAGAGACTGTGTGTCGTGTTGAGGGGAAGAGAGGCCCTTTCTGCACCCTCAGTAGGGTCAGAGAAACAGAGCTCAAAGAATTGTTGGCAGCCCTGTTGTGCTAAGGAGGGGGGCTGGAACCAGGGGCGATCAGGAGCAGAGATGGAAAAAAATTGTTTTCTGGTGATGTCCTTGAGCCACTGAAACAAAATAACCCCAAAGGCTGACCTACATTAGGACTTCCTAGTTACTCAAGGTATTTCCTTACTGTTAAAGTAATAAAAAGGCTTTGGGCAACCTGAAAAGTCCTAACTGATATACTGAAAATAGATGAGGAAAATGGGAACCCAGCACCTTAAACAACTGGCCTGAGCTACAAAATCTGGGGACAGAACTCTGAAGTCCATGCATTTCCTAGCACCTGTTACATGCGAGACCTGCCGGTTCCTTGCAGGGTTGCATGGTTACTTCCTGGGGGTGGGACCTAAAGCAGGGGCTGAGGTCAGTGTCTGTCTCTGGTCTACTCAATTCCAGTGGCTTTCGCCAGTCATTCCTGATACTAATGTTCAAACACTTGAGCTTGACAAATATTTGTTTCACAAGCAAAGACATACATTGATGAAGTTAAAATTCCTCTTTTCTCATTTCCCATTAAACTCATAAAACAAACAAACAAAAACTCGTACAGCAATTACAGAGAGATATGTTTAGCTCTGAAAATCAAAATGCTTCAAATTCCAACAGCCCTCCTGCTTCCGTACCTACCTGCAAGCCCCCAGACGCCCACCTGGCCAGGTCCTGCCTTCATCAGAATGAAATGGAAGTTCACGTAAAACCAATTGGGATTACCACCCAAGTCTGACTGTACGGTGATGGCCTTGTCCCCAGCCCACTCAGGCTTCATCTGCAGCTGTGAGGCACCTCGGGAGCAGCATCACGAGAGTGACAAGAGTGACCCTGAGCGACCTGGCTGGTGTCCAGTGCCCTCAGGCCTCTGGCAGGAGCAGGCTCTCTGAGGGAATGATGGTGGAACTGTCTCATCCAGGGCCCATGTGGTCTGATCCCCAAGGGAAACTGGATTCAGTGCCTGAGCGATCATTATCATTTGGCTCCAACTCCCCTGCTCTTTCGGGTGAGGTGATGTGTTGGAGGTAGGTGGCATCAGAGGAAAGCAGGGACAGAGGCATGGACCAGGGAGCACCCACAGGGCAAGTTCTCACAGTCATGGCTTTCCCCGTGGAAGTGGGATGGGGTTATGGACCCCCATCCATACCCTGCCTGGGTAGGTAATCAGTAATTGGAGACACAGTTCTCCCTCTTCCCCCCTCCCCCTGCCCCGGCCCTACCCAATCCACTATGTATTTCAGAAAAGAGAAAGGAAAGCATTTATTCATCCATCTGCTGAAAGAATCTCACACAAGACATGGATAAAAGGAATTTGTGGTGGGATTCACTGAGTGATGGACGAAAATGAAATTTAGGTAGGATGGACCAGCTGCCAGCTCCTGGGCCCTTACATACACGACAGCAATGAGAGTTGTTAATGACTCAGTGGTACTATGTGTCAGGTATGATGCTAGGCATTCTACATGCATTTACCTTCTCATTTAAATCTCATAATAATACCTTTGCATGGTGACAGATGGTTACTAGGCTTAGTGTCGTGAATGCATCGTAAGGTATAAAAATGTCCAATCACTCTGCTGTACACCTGAAAGTAATATAATATTGTATACCAACTATACTTTAATAAGAAAATCTCATAACTCTGTGAGGTAAGCATCAATATTGTCCCATTTACAGGAGAGGCACAGAGAGGATTAATCACTTGTTCACGGTCAAATATATGGGTTACAGCATAGCCTTGATCCACACCAGGGTCTGACTCACTCCAGCATCCATGCGTCTATGCATTTACATACTACACTATTGGTTAGATAGACATAAATCCCTTCAAGCGATGAAAGTAGTTGAGTTAAACAAACATCACCCTGGGAATGCGGGAGGAACCATGTCTATTGCATATTAGCTACCGCAATTCTTTTGGGAGAAAATCATGCATGAAAATGCTGCTGCTGTGAATTTTCAAAATTCTGATCTCTTATATTTTTGCTTTATACCTGTCAAAGCATTCTTAAATAACATGGCCTCATAAGATGGTTGTAAAAGTTGTACGATGTTGACTGTCAGCATAGTTTGAACGACGACACTGAGATTGGGGTTGGTCTGCACCTTGTCCCAAAATTCAATGATAAATCAATGACATTCAGGAGAGGAACCCAGGTCTCCTGACTCCTAGCTCAGCACTTCCCTCTTAGCTATTTAAATTTTCCAAAAGACAAGGCTCCACATGAAAAAGGTATTTAAAAATAACGAGTCTCTGCGGGACTTTGGGCAGTTTGGCCATGGAGAGAGAACTGAGTTAGAGACAGAAAAAGACACGTTTCTGTGTGGAGAAGTGGGAACTGGGGGGCTCCCCAAACACTAGTGTTATGACTAGTCTTATTTAATATTTTTATAAGAGGTCTGGAGGAGGGAAAAGAAAACTGTGCAGAATATTCTAAGCTCTTTGGGATAGCAAGAAGGCCAATGATGGAGATGAACTGCAGATAGATGGTACATTCTCTGCAGGGTCGAGTCTGGGGGGACGGGAAGGAGCTGCACATGGGTTAATGGACCTGGGATTGAGAGTCTCAGGGGGCAGAGATCATGCCTGCAGTAGTCAGCACTTCCCCACTGCTGGGCACAGTACCCAAGACATGGTTGGTACTCAGTCAGTAGTTACTGACAAGCATTGGTGAGGATGTGAGGAAAAGGGCGCCCGTGTGCACTGTTGGAGGGGATGTAAATTGGTGCAGCCACTATGGAAAACAGTATGGAGGTGCGTCAAAGAATTAAAAATAGAAATCCCATATGATCCAGCAATCCCACTCCTGGGTATATATTCAAAGGAAATGAAATCAGTATCTCGAAGTGATATCTGCATCCCCATGTTCATTGCAGCATTATTCACAATAGCCAAGATATGGAAACAAACTAAGTGTCTGTCAATGGATGAACGGATAAAGAAAATTAAAATAGAAGGAAATCCTGCCATTTGTAACAGGGATGGACCTGGAGAACGTTGTGCTAAGCGAAATAAGCCAGACACAGAAAGACAAACACTGCATGATCTCACTTATGTGGAATCTAAAATAGTCATAGTCAGAGATGCAGAGAGTAGAAGGGTGGTTGCCAGGGTCTGGGGAGTGCAGGAAATGGGAGGTGTTGGTCAAAGGGTACAAAGTTTCAGTTATAAGATGAAAAAGTTCTGGAGATCTAGTGTATAGCATGGTGACTATAGTTAATAATGCTGAGATGTATATTTGAAATTTGCTAAGAAGGTAGTGTGA